ACGTAAATTATAGTGTATATATATATATATATATATATATATTATAGAGAAGTTGTCATAAATAAAATAAAATTAATTTTTTTATGAAAAAAAATCATATCCTCTCCATTAATCATAGTTGTGAAAATTAAATTAGATCAAGCCATTTAACCAAAAATTGGTACGGTGACTAGTTTAGTAATTCAAAAAAATCAACATGCTTCTGAACGGGTACAAATTAGTCAAAAACTAGTTTAGAGAATCTTGTTGAACTAATAATGATAAAAAAAATTAAAATTTTATTTTTAAGATAACTAGAAAGTTATATTTAAAAAAAATAAAAACTAGAATAAGGATATTTTAGAAAAATAAGGATATTTAAAAAAATTAATATAAGTGATAATTAAAAGATAGTCTTATAAAAAAAGATAAAAAAAATTAAAATGGTATTATATAAAAAAAAAGTAGTAATAACTAATAAAGAATGACTTGTAAAAAAAATATTAAAAGTTTCATTTAATAATATTTTCATACATCGATTTATTTTTATTTTCTCACTAGAAGGTAACCAGAGCATTTCATTCAAAAACACTTCCAAGAAATCTCTAACCACTTTAACTCCACATATCAACTTCTAAACCTCAACACCCATAACAACAAATAGGAAAAAAAACATTAAGTTTCATCCCTCAACAACTATTCTACCTACTTAGCTAACACCAACATCCAATTCTCAATTTGAAGGAACATCAACTCCCTCCTAGCACAACTATAAGAATGTGATTGACAGATAATCAATTCATTCTTAAGATTATGTCAATCTCTACCACAGGCAAGAAAATCAAGTTTACCTTATACTTCCTATCAAACACTTATATTGAGTTTCTCACACACGCATCAAAAGTACTCACAAACACAATAGTAGGAGTAAAAATAATCAAACCTATAAGCAATGTACTCACAATCAATTCCAATCTCTCTAAACAATCATAGGAAATAAATAAGTGTGTGGCTCTAGAATCAAACAATATAAGAACATTCTTACTAGTAGCTTTTTCCTTCCCTTTCACCAACTCTATGGAAGTGAAAGCCTTAGCTCCTGATAAGGCAAACATCCTACCAACTACAGTAGGCCTTTCTACTCTCTAAACAACTCTAGGTTGTCCAGCCTCTATTGTACAATCTTTGAAGATATGACTTGACTGGCCATATTTGAAACACTTGTATGCTTGGGGGGTAGTCTCTGATGAAAAGAGCTCCTCCACATTTGTAATAGTGAAGGCCCAAAGCTCCAACCTGAGCTCCCCTCTGAGGAGTAGACTAAGGTCTCCTCACAACAAAACCTACCTATTGTTGAAGAGGTCTATCATAAGGTCTCCTCTATTACCCTCTTCTCTTGGACCCAGATGGCCCCTCTGACTCTTCCTAACTCGACCTCCACACTCAAGCCTCTCCATAAGCACCACCATTCTTTTCATTTCGTGTCTCAATCCCTCTACAAACTTCTTACATCTCCAATCTTCAAAAGTGGCCTGAGAGTGTAAACAAGCCAAGTGCTCAAACCTTATTGCATACTTTCAAATCATCAAACTCCCATGCTACAGTCTCATAAACTTCATCTCCTTGGTGTATATCACACTATTGAAGAAATACTTATTGAGGAGCACCCTCTTAAAACACCCCCAATTCACCATAACACCTTTGGTTTCTAGCAGCTAATGAGTACCCCTCCACCAATACTTTATTTCCCCTATTAGCATGTAAATTGCATACACCAACTTCCTCTCATCAAGGCAACCCATCGCCTTAAATATCTTTTCCATCTCGCAAATCTAGTGGTTAGCCACCTCCAAACCTACATCTCCCTTAAATTGAGGGGGATGACATTTCCTGAACTTGGTCAAGTTGCGACTCTCTTGTGACCCATATGGCCTAGCCACCTTATTCGTTGTCCCACTCGCTTCCATTTGAGCAAAATGAGCATTTTGTTATTGTATAGCCATGACCATCTTCTCCATGCATGGCCTTAGCTATTTGATCGTACCACAGTCTAACCATCCTCCTATATTAAGATCAATAAATCCATTAAGAAACATTATACAACAACTCAACACACAATCACCTAACAACATTAACAATAGAAACCTAATGGGATCACCCCCACAGAGTACTCAAAAGACTTGACTGACTTTGATAGCATAAAAGTGTAATGACTCGTCAAGTCCCTACATTTAATTGTTCACAACTAGTAATGAAAAAACATATATGTTTCTACCTAAAATTAATATACAATAGTTCTTGGATATACAAGTATATATATATGTGTGTGTGTTTGTGTGTACAAAATCTACACCAACAATTGAAATACTACACAAGCATATGTGTATATATTATAATCCAAAAACTATAACATATAAATCTAGGTAGTAAAACAACAATTAACAAATATTAGGCTAGCTATTCTAAGGTAGCCCAAAAATCAATATCGCCAACTTATCTAGTTTCCAAAAGGCTCCATCAGATAACCTATCTCTTCTTTACTTTCAAATCAAGTATGATTATCATAGTTTAACCATATGGATAAAATTCATAACAAACATGATTTCTCAAATTTCGTCACTTAAACTAGGATGTCTAGTATTCTTGTCAAGGTATAATAACTTAAGTGTGAGTCTACCACAACATTAGGTAACATAACTAAGCCACCAATAGGATTAACTCGTTGATTACCCTCCAAATATTATACCCTTTCAGTACTTAGTTAGGGATTTTAACCTCCGGCCTTTTATCTTACTCTAATTTCTCACTTTATACACATATGTATTGACCTTGCCCACATACGAATCAACAATGGTCACTTATAGTTGATATGCCTCGACTTGACCCACATACCACATCAACTAAGGTATTAGAGGAGATACAACTATCCACTTCAAGGGTTAACTTTCCAATAAGGATTTTCAACAAACTAGACTCTTAGAGCACCACAACATAATACCTTCATAATGAGATATGCAACTTTAAAATAATTTTTCCTTTAATCCTATGTCGATCAACATATTATAACTTTAATGCCAAAACATTCTCAATACAACTACTCAACCAAATAACATACAACTCAACTCAACTTCCAACCATTTAATTAACTTATTCAATATACTACACAAGGCATAAAGACTCAATATCATGCATCATCATATGGCATATAGCACAATGTAATCATCGTATACCATGTAATAGATATTCAACTTTTAACAACACAAACAACACATATTTACAAGGTAGTCCATGCCTAACATCATTCTTCCCATGCCTAGCATGAAATGAGGTAGAAAGTCTCTAACTTGTCCATGCTTGACACCACTCTTCTCATGCTTGACGTGGATGAGGCAAAGAGCCCTTGTTTCTCTCACATCTAGCGTGACCAAAACCCATGTCCAACCTTGTTTTAGGAAGAGAGTCTCTACTTGGCTCACCTTTAACATCACCACACTAACACCCAACATCATCTAGGAAGAAAGTTCTGTCTTGGCCACGTTGGGTGCCACTCAATCTTGGGTCTAGTGTCACCAAGTCAAAGACATTTTTATCTTTTTACACTTAGCATCATTCAACCCACGTTTTTTGTGATCAAGTTAGAGACTTCTCCCTAACCCACGCCTAACACCACCAATCCTACACCCAACGTAAGTGAGGCAAAGACACAATGTGAATCATGCACTTAGTAAATTCATGAATTTAGCCCTCCACACCTGAAACTTAGGAAAAACCCAACATGCAATGCATGAAATCTTAATACACAATCCAAACAACTAAAAAAAACCACAAAACCCACATGCAACCATTATTTGGCTAAAATCACCAAGATCACTTCAACATACTCCATAACAACAAAATTTAAAACCTCCATTATTCAATTTGAAATCAACCAACATAATAACATTTGATGGCCATCAATCAACATACATCTCAAACAATTCCACAGAAGCAAAGTCCTAATCTCCCTTACCTCAATAAATCACTTCGAAAGAGAGTAAAAGGAAGAAGTGTAACGACCCGCCCTAGGCCGTCACATCAATAACCAACTACGCTAGAATGATATATAATATAAAAAATAGAGCAAAAGCCAGCTACGCTAGAGTGTAATTATACAATAACATATAAATTGTTTCCAAAATATATAATATAATCTGCTATAGCAGAGTCATCATCCTTAATAAAGTCATACAGTAATCCAAAAGATAATATAGACACCCTAGGTGCTGGTCAAGCTCTAAACCTTGCTACTACTCAAAGTAGCTATCAGAAGACTTCTTGCTATCCCAAGCCTCACACCTGATCTGCTCCCCCACA